TATATATATATATATATATATACATTTTTTTATAAGGCAATTATTTTAACTTACTAAAACAATAGAATTATGATTAAAAAAATTTTTTTTTAACTGTTATTATTATATTTAATAATATCATAACATTATTGTATAATTTTAAAAGGAAAATAAATATCTTGTTGTTGTTGTTGTTGTTGTTGTTGTTGTTGTTGTTGTTGTTGTTGTTGTTGTTGTTATCTTAACGTTGTTATCTTGTTGTTGCATTTACACTCTTTAATGAATCAGCAACAGCTCAAAATAAAGGTAAAATTTTTTAAAGAACTAAAAAGTTATATTTTAAATTATTCATAATACTTTTTATTTTTGTTTTTACAGTTAAAGTATATTAAAATAAGACCAAAGTTCAAGGTTAAGATTTAAAAAAAAATACCAAACAGCTTCTTACGGAGACAAAACTTAATTGAACGAAAACATTTTAGCAAATGCTGTGGGTTATTGTAAAAAAAAAAAAAAAACTGTCGAGGCTAGGGTTGTTCGCCGAAAAACAAAACTTACGAAAATTTCGCATTTTTATCTTCCGTAATAGAATTGTTATTGCGGAAGTTGCACATGCGAAAATGCACATTCCGTAACGCTCTATACGAAAATATAAATAAATAAAATTCCGTAATAACGCATTACGAAAGAAGACTTGCGAAACAAATCATTTCGTAAGAATACTTACGAAATAGTTCATTACGGAAGGAGCATTCCGGAATGTGCAGTTACGAAAAAGACGCAAAAGATTTTATGTTACGATATATTTAAGATATTAACTGTTAACAGTTTAAATAATAAATAATAAAATTATAAAAAAATGTTGTCAAATGATTCTTCAAATGTTTATACAAATATACCTTATATATATATATATATATATATATATATATATATATATATACATTAACGGGATTTTACTGTATATATATGTATATATATATATATATATATATATATATATATATATATATATATATATATATATATATATATATATATATATATATATATTCACATATATATAAATATATACATATATATACAGTAAAATCCCGTTAAGTTGGACTCTCAATGAACAGATAAACAGTATGCCTTTCTTTTTAAAAAGTATAAAGAGGTTGTGTGAATTAAACAATTAAATACTTTATTATAAAGAACGAGAGATCTCTCTAAAAGTAAATGATATCAGAAAGAGTAAAAAGAGAAGAAACATATGTGAAACAGCGGGATGTGAACCTGGGTCTACGCGGCCAAATGTCTTAACTGAATGAGCTATACGTTCATTCAACTAAGTGAATAGTAATATTTATTTAATATACAATTAAGAAACTATATAAAACAGAATTTACAGAAAGAGATACGAATGCAAATAGGATTCTATATATCAGGAAGATAAATAGTAATGTGAACCTTTAGATGCTTGTAATTAATATCTGGACTCAAAAACTAGTTACTTTTAATGGAACACATTAGGCTGTAGGAGCCTCAGGGAAATTATATTCAGAAATGGTTATATTAGACTCAGAGTTAGCTAGAAATTATTACAAAATATTTAGGACAGATGTCTAGTACAAAAAGCAAAAGATTTAAAGCAAAATGATTTATATTATTTGAAAAAGTTGTTTTACGTACATTTCATCATAATTTAAGTAGAACTTAGTAAAGCAAGGGAAACGTGTTGAATTAAGCACAATGAACTCAATCTTAAAAGAATAACTAACAGAAGAGAGGTTGTCACTATTGTGAAGGTGACGAAAGATCTGTAATATAGAACATGGAGGTCAAAAAATGCTATCTTAAGTAAAAAGAGTTTGATGAACAAAAGTTACAATGGCTGCGGGATGCGAACCGGGATCTCTGCAGCGAATTATCACGTATCTAACTGATTGAACTATACAATCTTATACTCAAATTTATATCTTATTAAAATTAAAAAACAATATTTTCTAAGATCTATACTTCGAAAAGCGTATTCAAACAGGACTCTACTCTACATACCTTTAAAATCTGCTAGAACTTTAGTAACGTGAACACTTTTAGAAATTATTGAAATAGGTATATTTTATCAGAAATATGCTTAAGCTAAAGCATATTTTTGAGCCTCTTTTTAATATTTGCTTAAGCATATTCGAACCTGTTTCAAAAATTTCATATGCTATTAAAAAAAAAACATTATATTCCTACCCATCATTCTTATTTTTAATATACGTAATGAGTTCAAAAAACATCGTTGTATATATTTATTATGGCACGTTTCGTAAGTTGATTTCCGTTAAGAATTCTTTCGTATGTTGTGATCCGAAATACTTTCGTTTCGAAAGAAATTTTATTTTTTATTAATATTTCTAAAAATAAAACCATAAAAATTTAATAGTTATTATACTGAGTTATAAAAATTCATTATAAACAATTTGGGATTTAAAGATGTTAATTTTTACAATTAAAATCAGTCTGGCAAACAAATTTTCTTTATAGACTTCAAAACGTCGTTTGGCGAAAATGTTTGTTTCGCAAGTGCGACTTCCGAAACCGCTACTTTCGTATGTTGCAAAATAGTTTTGTTTCGTATGTCAACTTGCGAAATGCTAAATTTCGGAAGTGGCTTTTGCGAAATGAACATCGGCGATTTTAAATGTTTTGTAACATTCGGTACGAAAAAATGTAATTCCGCGTTCTCAATCTCCTTACGAAAGAATGTTGTTTTTCCGGAATTGCACGAAATCCTCCGGTTAACAACCCTAGTCGAGGCTACCATTCTGTTAAACAAGGTGTTTATAATGTTGATCCTGGAACTATGAATCGCATCTCAGATGGTGCTAAAATTAGTGAAAATAAAAACCATTTTTCAAATTTGAGGAGAATGTAGTGGTATTGTATGCAAAAAATAAAAACAGATGTTTACAATTTATTACAAAAGAAGAACTGTCCACAGTCATTTTAAATGTGATAAAGTATCTTATGCATGCTAATATAAAACTGAAAAGTTATCGTTTATGCTACAAGCTTTTACCTAATGCAGAAAAAGTAATACTTACAAACAATCGCGTTCGTTCTGGTAAAGCACCCAGTCTTTAAATGAACGTTCAAGATTCATGGTAAAGCACCCAGTCTTTAAATGAACTAGCCAAAGAACTTTATATTACAGGTATAGTGAAGAACAGTAAAAAGAACAGTAAAAAACTTCAGAAAGTATATGGTACGGTATAATAGATACTAAACGCATGTTTAATCATGATGAAACTCCACAGTTTGTAAACTTTACACTTGACGGTTGTGCTCGTGGATTGGTTTTTGTTGGAAAGGATGACAGCTGCTATTTAATGATCTGTGAGAACAGAACACTCAATCCGCGAGAGCTGCTGGGGATGTAGTTATTTGCCATGTGATATTATCAGGAAAAGAAATAACCCATAAAATGGCACCAAAATCCACTGTGGAAAAGATTTCAAATTTGTTTATATTAACGACAGAACATAGAGTACAAGATCACAATTTTCTGCTCAATTTTTTATAAATTATTTGATTGCAAATTAATTGAGAAAAATTTAGAGAGACCTGTGATGTTACTAACAGATAATCACTTTTCACAACAGGTGTAACACAAACTTCGAATCAAGTAAATCATAGTTTACATCATCATTATCGCCAACGTAAATCTAAACTGTTTTCTAGTATGTTGACAATTGATCGTTCTGGGTTTATGAAAAAATTAGGAGAGATATGGTCATCAAGAAAAAGTGGCTTGTATTGCAGAGTAAGGTCTAAATGTTAACTGGATGCAAAATGATAAATTTGAACAAGCAGCAAGATGTATAGCAACTATTTAGTCTTCTAAGATCCCAAAAAAATGCTCTGTACAAAAAGTCCTCTCTGTTTCATCCCCTCACAATGTTAGAACAGGTTATCGTAATTATTATAAAAAAAAACTTGAAAATGCATAAGAGTTATCCATGATCTTACTGAATCTATTGAAAATGTTCAGAATTTGCCCGAGCCGGATCAAGGGGGGGGGGGGAAGATTAGAGGGACTATAGCCCCGGACCCCGCAAATTTAGGGGCCCCTAATAAATTTTAGAGGACCTTTTTTTTATGTCATTTTTAGGCTCTGGCCCATAAAAAGGCCTCCAAAAACAAAAATAGCCCCGGCCCCAAGAAGTTTCAATCCGCCACTGGGATTTGCTAACATATTCAAAGATTACCTCAAAAGACACCTCTAAAAAAAATATATAAAAGTAACTCAACAACATGGATCAATGGATGGGAAAAACGATCTTAGAAGCTTTAACTGAAAAAGAAAACAAGCAAAAGAAAAAAAAATTGATAGAAGCCTCAGAATCAATCATTTTTACTTTTGACATTTTTATAAATATTTTATTTCTTTTTCTGATTAAAGTTGTTAATTTAAAAATTTATTTATTATTCGATAAATAAGTCGTAAAGTTAAAGTTGACAATGAAGATAGTATTTAAGAGATTTTAGAAAACTAATGTACATCTTAAAATTTAGATCTCGTATTTTTGATCATGACTAAAACAGCAGAGGATTTAAATCTTAAATTAAGTTGTAACTGTAGTCCTTGTAGAACTGGTCATTTCTATATATAGCCTTTATAGCTTAATTCTTTGTTTTACATCTGAATTTTATGTTTTAAGCGGAAATGTGTTTTAATTTTTAGAAAAAATACTGAACCTCATCAGTTGTCAGAGTATACTTGACATTGAATGGCTGTTTTAAATTATATTCTTTTATGCCTTGGCTACTTCCTTGTATAATATAAACTTTATTCCAATTGCTTCAAAAAATATGAGAACGAAGTTCAATAACCAGCATTTTACGCATACATATAAGGTATAAATACCTGTATTCTGTTTTTTATCAGTTAAGAATCAACTTTACTTTGCAAATTTCTGGGCCTTGCCCCTCAGCCCTCCGTCGCCGTAGCCCATGAACAAACCGATTATCGCTGAAAAAATCTACTTTTGGTGGAAAATAAATACACGAGAACATGCAAAACAAAAAATTTGAGTAAACAAACCTGAAAAAGTCTAAATTTGCCACCAAATGTAGATTTTTTCAACGAGAACACGCGAAACAAAACTAAAGTTTATTTTTGAAAACCATGTATTGGAAACGATGACAATAACATCAAAGCATCAATTCTAAATACAAAAGTTTATTTAGTGGGTTTTGAGCGGAGGTGTCCTTATCACTGATCTCAAAATAATAACTGGATAGCGCATTCGGGAAAATTTTTGAAGCCAGTTTTGGCCTACCAAGATGGCGGCGTAGTTTGCCAACGGTTATAGAAGTACCGTTTAAAAAATCCAAAAACCTTTAGCATAATCGATAAAGATATAATTTTAAACACAAATAAGTTTTTTTTTTTTTAAAAAAAAACAATTTTTAAAAATAAAAGTAGGCATATTTATATATATATATATATATATATATATATATATATATATATATATATATATATATATATATATATATGTATATATATATATTTTATATATATATATATATATATATATATATATATATATATATATATATTATATATATATATATACATATATATATATATATATATATATATATATATATATATATATATATATATATATATATATATATATATATATATATATATATATATATATATATATATAATATATTTATACATATTCATAAAAAATATATATACATTGCTTAATATAAATATTATTTATCCTAATATATATATAATATATATATTAGGAAAAATAATATTTATATTATGAAATATATATATATATATATATTTTTTATAAATATGTATAAATATATTTTATTATAAGATAAATAAAATCGTTCAAAAAAATTTAATAACCAATTTATGTACCTTTTAGTTCTTAATTATCTTATGCTGTGTGCTAGAAGGTTAATAACACAACTGCATAATAGACAGCTTAGTATCTGTTTAATATGAATCAGCCTTAAAAAAATTTTTTTAAACAAATACTTGTTATGTACATATGCTGCATGAACTATTAGCTGAGCTATGTGAGTACACACAACTAAGAGGTTCCTTCTAGAGTTTGTTATCATTAATTATTTTAGTTTAATTTTAATAGATTTTTCTTTTAATACAAATAAATATACTAACTATATTCACACACATAAATATACTCACCTAGTACATTTAAGTGTATATATATATATATATATATATATATATATATATATATATATATATATATATATATATATATATATATATATATACATATATATAAATGTTTGTATGTATATTATATATATATATATATATGCATATATAACTCCTGATAAGTCGTAACCTTTAAGTGTCCGAGCAAATACTGGAAGTTCAATATTTTTTAAAGGTTTGAGTTATCAGGAGTTAACTGTGTATATATCGATGGCATAATGCACAGATATGGTAAGTGCAAGATTAAAAACTGTAGAAGCTGTCATTTGCACTTACCATATCTGTGCACTAAAATGGTATACTAAAAACAAATGTTTTCATTGATTTTTGAATAAGACAAATTTAATCAACTGCTTCCTAAACTTTTTTCCAGTCAATTTGTTATTTACTTCTTTGCGTAGTTGATGAAAGTGTATTTTTGAGTAATTTTTCGAAATAATTTTAATCAGTGAAAATAAATGCTTATCAGTTAAAGACGAATCAAGCATATGATGAGTTAGTTCTGTGAATACTTTTGATAAATCAACTGATCTCAAAACAACACTTGCATTTGCATTTTTAATTCCTATATCATTAGGCAGGGTAATATTTGTTAATGTAAGAAACCTTTGGAAACATCTTTCTGTCCTTTCGCATACCAAAACAACACATTTGCTTGGTTTAACTTAACCTCCCCTAGAGAATTTATTCTTAATGAAATGTAACATACATATGTTACATCTTTACATACTATGTATGTGTTAAACTGTCAATAGTTATCTTTCAAACTTCGAGGAATAATTATTCACAATTGAGTTTGACAATGACTTCTAAGTCATTGAGAGATTATTTTTTACTTTGGAATATAAATATTGTTTTATATTTTCACTGATTATTGAGTCCAGAAAGTTAATGCATTAAATAATAAAATGACTTTTATAATCCTAGAAGGAACCTCTGAGTTGTGTGTACTCACAGTTCTCAGCTAATAGTTCATACAGCATTTGTACAATAATGTTTCTACCTACAAAAATCATGATTTTAAAATTATTTAAAGATTCTACAATCTTTAAAGAACAACGTAAACAACGTTGCTGCTTACCATACAGTTGTGTTATTAACCTTCTAGCACACAGCATTGAGTAATTAAGAACTAAAAGGTACATAAATTATAAACTTTATTTAAAAAGTGTATACTAGCTGAATATTTTAATAATTAGAAATCAAATAAATTTATATCTTATTTTCCTTAAAAATAGTTTACTTTTCTTATTCGGTCCGCTATCAGTTCTAACCGACGCCATCTTGGTAGGCCAAAGTTGGCTTCAACTTTTTTTACGAAAAACAATAGAATACGCTATCCAGTTATTATTTTGAGATCAGTGGTCCTTATACGTAAGTAATCATGAAAATTAAACGAAATTATGAAGATTTTGAAGGAAGAAATAAATTTTATTGCAATGGATTAATAATTATGTCAAACAGTAACTGTGCGTTTCTAATAACGTTTATTTCTATCATATTCACCTCGACTCTTTTCTTTTATCACGAGTAAGTCTAAATAATTAACTTAAGTTATATGATTTATTATTAATGTCATCTAAAAAGATTTTTACGTATCTATTAGACAAATGTCTTGGTATTTGACAAGAAATATTTTATTTGACTGATATATTATATGAGTTATTCGGTGAAAATACATTATTAAATAATTAATGATATTATATGAATATATAACTTTATAAATGTAGTCTGAAAAATATGTACATATCTTGTAGACGTATGTCTAGGTATACATTGTGTTAACCAGGGTATAAATTTTATGCCCGTTATTATTATTATTTTTTAAATCAATTAGGATAATAATTTCAGCTTCATTAGTGTTACTCTCAGTCCAGTCCATATAAAAAAATTTTCCTTTGATATTTTGATTTGATTTCCTTTGAAGATTACAAACAGTGGCAATACAAAGTACAGTAATTTACTCATGGTCAGTGATGAACCCTGGTTCATCAGAATTGATTATTTGAGTGGGCAGGTTAATAACTCAAGCATAGTCTCTGGATTTTTTTATTCTAGCATTATTTCTTAAAATGTTAAATTGTTTTTCTTAGTTTTTTTTTTGGATTTTCCTGCAAGAAGGTTTGCAACAAGTCCTTACTTGATTAACAATTTATAAAAGGTGTTTTAATATTGTTTGTTTTCATACAATCTTGAATCAGATCTTTTATCCTACTTCTAATCAAATTCCAACCCTGAAGAGTTCTTAGAAAAAGCATTCTAACAGTTCTTAATTTTTGCTTTGAGGTTAAAATTGTTTTTTGTCCTGGATGAGAATTGACACTTCTCACTTTTCTTGAAAAGACTCTCTTAATATACATTTCTTTTATTAAGACAGAACTGCAAGAATCTACCGTTTCCTAACTATTTGAGTAGGATTTCTTTCTTCCTTGCATCAGTTTTTACTGATTTCTGACTATAAAAATAGAATTTCCTTCCTATTTTCTAGGATATTAATATAAGATGCCTAAACTTTAGTTGAATGATACTTATTTACTTCCAAGGAAAACTTAACCAAACAAGTTATATAAATTTTTTAATACAAAACTAGTGAACGCCAGCAAAGTTTTTTATAATCTATAAACAATACTAAAAACTGCCATCAAAAACACCTATCTTTAAAATCAAATTAATAATGGTTAAAAGTTAGTTCTAAACCCAAAAAATGTTTTAAATAACTTTCTGATTTATATAATTAAACATTTTTATTTTATACAATAGAACAAAAAAATTAGTTTAGGTTCTGCTGAAATTGATCTTATTCCCACCCTTGTTAGGGTGCATCCAATGCCCCATACTTTCAAAAATTGATCTGCCCCTATTCTTAAAATTTTCTATTGGTTCTCACAAGACAATCTGTTAAATTTTTTAAAAATGGAATGAGATTTAGATGGGCTGCCTCAAGTCTGAAACTTGAAACAAGACCCTAAACAGAAGAAAAAAAAAGTTTTTCAAATGTATGTCATGTTGGGTCTCAAAAGATGTGAAACTTTATAAAAATTTTAAAAATAGTTATCATTTTTTGTTAAAATTACCTTAAAAAATTTATTTGATAAAAACCACAAAATATTGTTTTTTATTTTTTATCTTTTGTTAAAAAAAAATAATTTTTATGTAATAAAATATAGAATAATAATTCCTGTGTAAAATTTTTCTTCTGTTTAGGGTCTTGTTGAAGCTTCAGACTGTTTCAAAGTGTTTTATGAGAACCAATAGAAAGTTTTAAGAACAGGGACAGATCAATTTTTAATGTACTCCATACATTTAAAAATTATTCTGTCCCTATTCTTAAAACTTTCTAGTGGTTTCCACAAGACACTCTGAAACAGTCTGGATGCACCCTAGCCCTTATCTTACAAAATGTTTTTAATTTATTCCAATCCACCACAAAATATAAAATAAGTCATTTTGAGGGTTTTTCAAAAACAGTACTTTTTAAAAAAAAACAGCTGTTTCTGTTTTAAATTCAAAAAAAAAAAGTTTTTACCAGGTGTTTTTGCTCTTTTCCATATCCATTCCATCATCAATTTTGTTTATCTCACAGCTATCTAAGTAATGCTAATCAAAATTGTCCATCTTGCATTTATTCAACATTCTTTTTGGATATACTAATTGAACCTGTCTATGTTGCTAAAGAAATTAAACAGGAGTAAATAAATAAAGAACATATATAACTTATGTAAGTTTTATTTTTTACAAAAAAATATAAATCATAGAGGAAATTTTAATTTAAATTGATAAACTAACTGTTAAAAGTTTTTAAAATGACAGGTTCAATTCCAAAACCATCTGAATATTGTTCCATGCCTCAACCATTTTGAGAGCGGATCATGAGCGAACACATAAGACCAGTTTTCAATGTTGTTTTCAAATCACTATAATGAAGTTTCAATATTGTTTACCCAAAAAGATGTGAGAATATATTTTTAGCTCCATGCAGTACATATCATTGTGCCACATATTTTAGAACAGTTTTTATTCTAGAATTTTTTTTCTTTTCCAATTTTGTATATATTGACTGGCTCTATTTCATTGATCTATATATAGATCAATGAAATATTAGGTTGTAAAACACTGCATCATAAAAAATTTTATTACAAAAATATTAAAAACCTTACTTCAAGAAGCTGAAGTTATGTTTTTGAACATATATAATATACTTTATTTAATATGGTTCACTGCTAATACATTAATTGAATTGTTTATCTGCTGATTCAGAAAAATTGAATTTCAGATTTCTGTGCAGGTCATTAATGCAGGCTTGTTGCGCTGTTTGGCTAGTAGTTTTTGTTATTGAATTAAAAACAAATTTTACTTTTGATTTTTTAACTCTGTAATGTTTTTTAGCTAGTTTTTATAAATTTATATAACAATTAATATATAACAATAAGATATTTATGTGTTTTTATTTTAGCGCTCGCTATTTTTGTGACAATTCCTTTTTTGCTATCCCAATCGTTGGAGGCTGGTTGTTTATGTTTGTTATAGTAATGCTTTTATGGACATCTTTTAGTGATCCAGGTATTATTCCACGTGCTAAGAGCACAGATGAGGCAATGTATATAGAAAAAACAATAGGTACTTTAAGATCTGTTTAACAGGTCCTATTTTTTTAGTGTGTATTATAAGGTAGTTGAATTAAAATCGTTTTAATTTTATTTATTTTTAGTTTTTTTGTTTAATTTTAGTTGTTTAGTAATTTTAGTTTAGCATATTACATGTTATTGTTCAACATGTATTAACTATTTAACTTATGAATTTGTTGAAACACATTTCCATATGTTGTTTGTTAATATGTATTGCTAACTAATGATTTTTTATTATCTATAAAATGTATTTGTTAAGAGGATAATTTGTAAACAACTTTAGGTTAGGTTATTTTTTTTTTCCCGATAATTATACATTGACTAAATTTAGACACAAAACATCACAACCCTATAATAATATTAATCCTCTATATGATAACATTGTGTGAATCCACTATACTTTTGTGATTTCATTTGTGATCATCATCAATTGGATTTTATTCTCATTACCCATAAGAAGCCAGCCACAAGTGCTTTACAGGAAATTATTAATGATACTATGAAGTAGCTGTTCAACTAATAGGAGATAATTGGTTTATTATAATATTACATAGGGGAATCAATAGGAGATATTTGGTTTATTAAAATATTAAATAGGGGAATCAATTAATAGGAGATAATTGGTTTATTACACTTTTAAATAGGGGAATCAATTAATAGGAGATAATTGGTTTATTACAATAATACATAGAGTGAGCTTATTACAATAGGAGATATGGGCTTATTATAATTACAGGCATTGGACACATTACAAATGGAAAATAAGTTTTTTAATTTAGAAAAATTGGAATCTATGATTTTTTTACCATTTTTAAAGAAATAAGCTCAATTAAAAAAAAAGGACTTTGTGATACTATTATTTAGTTTATTATGTTTGTTATTATATTTGTTATTATATTTAGTTTTTAATTTAATAGGCATGGTTAAATGTCTCCAGAGCTTTTCCTGAGTTTTTGATGGAAGTCTAATTTTCTTTGTTGGTAGTGTCATTTCATTTTGAGCAAGACTGAGGTAACTGCACAGCTCATTAGGTGCTATGTACTATACAAGCTATACATGCATTATACAGGCTATACATGCACTATAGTCAAGTCTATAGTCAAGCTTATCTTTAACACTGCTAGCACTAAAGCCACTTGATATTTTCATTTTTCAATCTCTCACTTAGTAGTTTCTTTAAAACTCGTTTTCCAGAAAACCCTTATAACTTACCTTCACTCATTGATTTTTTCTTTACTCGTTTATTGCCCTATTTCTCCTTGTTCTCGTTTGGGTGAATAGCCATACTATAATCTCTAAATTTTTTTATCTTGTACTTTTTTTTTAGACCTTTCATCACACTGCTTACTACTTCCTTAAAGCTAACTGGAATTCTTTTTGTGTTTTTTTTTTAAGTCTTTGGGCTGATACATTTTCTGCTGATAATAGTTCCTTTTTTGATAATAGATTCAATATCTCATGCAAAAAGTTCTGCATGAGGAATTTAGAGATAAATTCCTCATGCAAAATTTGTCTCCAAAGAAAAGTTTTGCAATCATTAATGATTGTCTAAAAAGAGTATTACAAATATATTTGATTAAAGTAAATTGCAATCACATTTGTGTTGCAATCATTACAGACATGAAAGCCCATTGTTGCATAACTATGAATTTTTTTATTTTATTTAAACAATTAGTTCTATTATTATATCAATTCTGTGATATAAATATAACGTTAGACTCCGAAAACCCTGTTGAAAAGAATCTTCGCAAAAGATATAAAACATCACTATGTTTGGAGGATATTTATTTATTTTCGATCACAATATGCGAAAAGCAACTTCATAAAGATATAGTTAAGGCCGTAATCTCGATCAAAAATGTTGAAATTATTAGTGACAAGTTTTTAATCTCGTCAGTTAAAGAATTAATTACTATGACAAACTCAATTCTAAAAGAAAATAAAGAAATAAAATTGGAGCTAAGTCTGATGCGAGAAAAATGAACTCATCAAAGTAAACTTATTGAAAAACTTAAAGTATCAAACAAAAATACCCAAAATGTAAAATCTGATTATTATGCACAATGTGAAAATAAACATTTTAACTACGACACGCAAAATGAAAATAAAAATTCTAAAGTCACCGCATATTTTACAAAAGATAGCTTTCAGCAATCATGCAGCAAATCAACAATTAAATCTATTGTTTCAAATTCGATTAATTGCAATTCCTCATATCCAAATAATATTGAAATTAAAAATACACCAAAACAACATTTTTCAAAAACATTTGCTAGCGTTGTGGCTCAAACGCAATCAACCGCAATAACTTCTGAGAAAATTTCTGGCGAATTAAATGATAAAAAACTGAAAATGAGTATTGAAAGGAATAAAGATGACAACTTTATTTTAATTGGTAAGAATAATAAACCCGTGCGCCCCATTGCACGCCACCAAAATTTATCTTTCGAAAAAAGTACCGTAAGATTGAGCCTATCTTTGGAACTAAAATTACTGATCATAAAAGCATTGTAGGCGAAAAAATTGTACGTAAATTTGATGTCTTTGTTGGAGGCATATGCAATCAAGTTACTGAAGAAGATCTTAAAAATTATATGATAAGTGAAATAGACATTACGCCATTGTTAGTTGCCGTAAACAAAACAAACGAGTATAATAGATTGTTTCGAGTTACAATTAACAGTACGGAAAAAAAAAAAATTTTCAACCCTGATGTATGGCACAATAATATAATTGTAAAACCTTTTAGAACAAAACGCTTTTTCAAAAACAGTGAGCAAAATCTGGTATCCAACGGAAGCCAGGATAAAAGTTTTAATTGAAAATGGATCCAAGCAGCATGAGAGGAAAAAACAAGCCTTCAACAACTTTCGATATATGTACTTTTAACTGTCAGGGACTAAAGTCAAACTTTGAGTATACAAAGTCACTTATACAATCTTATGATATAACGTTTATGTGAACATTGGATATCTAAACTTGAATACTGGGTAATAAGAGATTTATCAAATAAAACACACTCCATTTATTTCCATCAGTCTGTTAAACATGAAAAAGGTCGACCATTTGGCAGAAATGCTTTCTTTAAACGAAAAAATCAATTCCAAAATATTAAAGTAATTTACGAGGATGACCATATTTTAGCAATAAATTTCGAAAAAAATGAACTTAATATTATAGTTATTGGAATATACCTCTCCTCGTCGCGGAACAGCCTCTCATCACTGGAAGAATACCAAAGTCAACTTGATGTGGTCAAAGGTTTAATTAATAGTTACGAAGGTAACGGTAATATAATTATAACCGGTGATTTCCAATCTTTTCCACACCAAATATATGATTTATCTGAAAGATCGAATTCCAAAAGAAACAATTATTCTGTCCACTTATCTGAATTTTTAAAATCAAATCAATTAGAACTAGTAGATGTAACTAACGGTTCTGGCCCTAATTATACATATATCGGCACCGGATGCTACCGAATTCGTCATATATTGATCACGTCGCCATACCGAAATATACAAATTTCCTAAGTCTAAAATGCATTGTTCATCCTGAGTGCTCAAATAACTTAAGCGATCATTTACCACTATCAATATCAGTTGAAGTTGAAGGTACGCATACTAAATACAATACCACAATAGCAGAAGATACTAATATTCCTAGCTACGCTTGGAACGATTCCAACTTTATATATTCATATAATGATCATTTAACTAATTGCCTTAACTATCTTAATTTTACTGATAACTATGAATACGACCTTGTTCAAATCTATAAAATAGTTGCTGGCAGCGCTCAAATAGCTTTTAAGGAAACTTTAAAAAATAAAATGCAATGTTTGTATTCAAAATCTTGGTTGACACCTGAATTAAGTCGTTCTAAAACTAATCTTTCAATTCGTTTTAACAAATGGAGAGATTCTGGTTTTTTAAAAGATTTAAACTCTGTAACCTTCAATCGTTACCTAACGGCTCGTAAAAGCTTTCGCAAAGCCGTCAAGTTGGCTCAAAATAATAAAATTTGCGCACAGTATACTAAAATTGAAAAGTTAAAAAATATTAGACCAAAAAACTTTTGGAATGCTTTTAGATGTTTAAACAAAGACATAAATTCTAGATTATTTACCATAAATAATAAAAAAGACAAAGAATCCATTACTTCAGAATTTGCAAACCACTTCGAAAAAGTACTAAATACTTCAAAAATAATACATCGCAATGGAAATCATCGGAGAGTTCCCCTGTGTACAAAACGCGATGATGTTACAATAGCTGAAGAAAATATAATTAGGGCTATTTCAAACCTAAAATCTAAAAAATCTCCTGACTCTTTCGGTATCTCAGCAGAACATTTGAAATACGCAAATTGTGATACTTTAACAAAATGGCTCATCAAATTTTTTAATTATTCCATTAATTATGGGTGGACACTATTATCAATGTCAACGTCTATTATTATACCCCTTGTTAAATCGTATAAAAAAAATCTTTAGATAGCCTGAGCAATTAATGCGGTATTAGCATTAAACCAATTTTTACAAAGATTCTAGAATACCTAATCCTTATTCTATGTCCGGATATTAGAGATACTCACCCCCTACAATTTGGATTCAATGCTAACTGTTCAACGCTACATGCTGAATTTCTAATTAGCGAAACAATTAAACATTACAATAGCAACAACTCACCTGTATACCTATGCTCTTTAGATGTAGAGAAAGCTTTTGATAGCTGCAACTGGGATATCCTATTTGATAAATTATATTTCAATAAAAAATTACCACTCTGTATAGTTAACACTATCTCTTCTTTATATAACAATAGTAGTGCAACAGTCTCATATCAAGGTTGTAAATCAAACTCCTTTCTTCTAAAGCAAGGAGTAAGACAAGGAACGATTCTTTCACCTCACCTATATAATATTTACACTGAAAGTCTTCTTGAAACTATTACAAATCAAGGTATTGTTGGCACATCTATATATGGTAAC